AAAACTGGAAACTTGATTGTTGGTGAAATCCTCTCAGTTCCTTTCTCCTTCACCCTTTTTGTGGCCTCATATGCTGTCATATTCTCAATTCATGAAACTGTTTTAAAAAAAAACAGGAATTTGCAGTCTCCAGAATATTCTCATTTCTGACACTAAAATGGAAAGTGCTTGAAACTGTTTTCTAGAAATACATGAGCTGTCACTGATCATGATGAAGATGTCTCAAGTGTACTTTTTCTAAAGTACAAAAAAGTAATAAAAATACTTTGTATTTTCAGTGTTAGTCATAGATTCTTTTTGTTCTTTTTCCTCTCCTGTTGTTTTTCTGTTTTGGTTTCAATGGACCATTTGTCAGTTTGCTGAGAATAATCCTTAGGCTTGTTTCCATCTTTCTTTAAAAAATTATTTCTTTTTAAATCCATATAATTTTTTATTAAATCAGAAAAGGTCATTCTTTCTCTGTGTATCTTTTCTACTATTTAATATTCAATGCTTTTACTTTTCCAGTCTCAAACCTTTCCTTATTTTCATCTTATTCTGGCACCACTTTGTTTCCTCCTGTGTTTTTCTATTCTGATATGCTTTTTTTTTTTTTTTCCCCTGTACAGATACTTTTAAGAGATGGGAGTTATTTGCTCTCAAAATGTGTAATGGGTTGTTTGAGAGGGTGTTCAGATGACAGTCATTTCTAAGTTACCTTAAAAAGGGGGGTAGTTTAACCGTCTGGACAGTATAACTTGCTGTCCTGCTCAAAGGGGAATCACAAAATTGTTTTTCCTCAGAATTATGCTATGGTTTGCACTGAATACCAACACATGTAACATGAACTGTGGTTTTGCAGTGTATGGTTGGGTAAGTAGTACTGAGATAGGGAGTGAGAGTTGGTTATTTTTTTTTACTGTGAACTTCTTGGTGTTAGCACAAGGGTTATGTGCCAGAGATGCACATACTTCACCTATGGTTATAAAACCCTGTTTACTTTTTCTGTGCAAACACAAAAGCCAAGTGGGAAGGGATATTTCATAAACTCAGTGCTATTGTGTCCTCTGGTCTAAGCCATAAAACAAGAGTAACAGAGATGTTCCCTTTGAACTTGAAATCCCTTTCTAAGCTGCTGATCTAACCTAAGTGAGAGGGGGAGACTATACCAGCCAGAAAATTTCTCTTCTGGGTATTTTTCCCTTCCCGCCCCTTTTCTTTTTTTAAAGTCCTTAAGTGAGTTTGATGCTGCACCTCTGCCCATAAATTTAAAAAAATATTATCGTAATG